TTTCCGAAGAGTCCAGCATGAGCTCCCTGTACAGGTAAAAAAAAACAAATTCCATTTCCAAAAAGCTAAGGTACCGTTCCGATTCAAATTTCGGACGATTCAAATTTCGGACACTTTCATTTTTAATTAAATATTACATCCAGTTAGAAACAAAGTAATAATGTTAGATGATCGTGGAGGGCACTAGTCAAAAAAATTTAAAATTTACAAGACATGTGGATCATATTCAGGGTGTCGACTCAAAGTCGAAAATAAAGTTCCCTGACTTTCCCTGACTTTCCCTGACTTTCCAGTCGGTTTTCAGAAAAATTCCAGTCCACAAAACTTCGTTATTTTAACCTAAGAAGCTACAACGTGATGTGCTTTATTATACCGTAGCGTAAACTAAAGTTAGTTAAGCTTTCGAAAATATCAAGAATAGCAAACTCATGGCACTTACAACAGAACTTGATACTAATACAAATTTTTACAGACTATATGACCGACTACCTACGAAGGATGTGAATAGACCTAGGGCTATAAATACATATTATAATATAATAATGAATAACTACTGCTCACAACTAGACTCCCTATTCATTACTAAGTAAGGGGTACCACAAAAGATCAAATAATGGACGCAGTGGTTCAACTCTCCCCAACAAAAAAAGTAATAATAGGAATATTTAATCAATGTCACCAAGCTCTCAATTTGTGTTCATAATTTCACAGCCAAATAAAAATCAACCCGTAGACGATCCTTTCTCTTTACATATAAATTATTGTAAAATAACAGAGCAGTGATTATTCTTGCTTTGGCAACCGAACCTGAGGATGCACTGCTCATGCATTAGTCAGTTTCGTACTCTCTGGAACTCCATATGACAACCGCAGATATGGTAAAATAATTTAAGTTTAATTATCATTAACATTTTATTCTCTCAGTGAGTTCACATTACAACGAGAAATTGCAAGTTGAATATGTGTTTATTTTCGGATTACTTTTAAAAATGTTTATCATTTGAGCAGAACAATTTTCTCCTGTAAACGACGATCCTTGTCTACATGGAAAGCGAATTCGATTTTTCGAACTCTCTGAATAAGTTCATTCAAAATTTGTAAGTTTTCGAACCCGCTTGCATGAGTAACATCATCATAGATCTGACGTCGCGCTACGACTGAAGGCCCAAACGCAATGTGGGCAGAAGCGGAACGGAAACGGAGTCACAAATGACATCAAGATGCCTAACCGCACTCGAATGTAGTTTTGCAGGAACCAAACAATCTCTCATTGACCAGTGGCTCGAACACTTTAGATTCGACCCCGAGCAAGGTAATCCCACGATAGTTTTCCACATTGCATTTGTCTCCTTTCTTGAAAACAGGAAACATAGTAGAGCATTTCCAAAGCGTGGGGAACTTACGCTTATGGAGCGATAGATTAAAAAGCAGGGTCATCGGGGCGGCTAAGATATCACAGCATTTTTTCAGCACAGCAGATGACATAACACTCGGTCCGGGTGAAAAAGAAGATTTAGTTTTCCTTATCGTAGAGAGAACCATTTCAACATCCACAGTACAAACATCCATGTTTACGACATCGGTTGGCACATCGCGGACTGCTAGATTGATTTCAGCTTGCGATGGTGAGTCGTTCGAGAAAACGCTCGAGAAGTGCCTTGCAAAAAGCCTGCATTTATCCTCAGTTGTCAATGCTACGTCGTTGCCCAGAAACACCTTCGACGGGAGACCAGTTTCCTTTCTTTTAGTATTTACGAACGACCAGAATCCCCTAGGATTGCTTCGCAGATTGCGTTCAGTGCGAATTACATATCGCTGGTAGAGAAGCTTGTTGTAGCGGCGATAGTTGTTACTGGCAATTGAAAAATTCCGTTTGGTCAAGAAGCAGAAATACAGTCGCGCAGAAAGCAATTATAGCGATCGACAGCTATGTCGATCTCCAGGTCATTCAACACGTTCCAGTCTATCTCTGACAAGGAACGTCACAGCAAACGTAAATCAGTCTTCCGGAAGTTGAGACGATAGACAATCGAAGTTTCATCAAAGTGAAGTTGAGATCTATTTGCGATAGGAATATCCAAAGCAGGATGGAAGTTGTCAAGAGGAACGATGACATCAGGCGCCTCAGTAACGGTACAGTCAAGAAGTGAATTTTCACTAACGAACACCAAGTCTAGGAAATGAGACTGAAAGTTGGGAACTAGATTTATATATCTGCCTCAATCCATGAAAACCAGTACCGTCCACAAGCAAGCGGCTGGCCGGAGTAGTAACAGATGCTATTGGATCTGGATATGCAAATCCCTGACCCGAGTGCGACCAGATAAGCCCAGGTTGATTGAAATCACCGAGCATAAGAATCATATCCGGAGTGATTTGAGATTTGGGCGTAATTGTATTTGTAAACAAACACGTCAATCGTCTTTTTTTCGTGAATAAAAGCTCAATATTATAAACAAACTATACCAAATGATAGAGGAATCATACCTCTTCCTCGCAGTGTTATTAGTTTTTAAAATTGAGCTTTTATTCGCGATAAATCGGCGATGGACATGTTTGTTTACAAATACAATTACGCCCAAATCTCAAATCACTCCGGATATCCGAATAATTAGCCATAGAAGAAGCAAATTCTACAGCATCCATATGAAGTTGCATTATGCTACAGTCGAGACGTCGTTCAGGGGGAATGTACACCGTTCAGATGGTCAATATTAATGAACCTTTCCATAACACCTCTAACCATTTGAGACATTGCGTTGCACCAAAAAGGCACCATAGGGTTGTCCATCTGAAATTCGCATTGAAATGGCTCAACTTTGACAGCAACTGATTTGAAGAAAGCTAGCTTAATACCACGTTCAGACTACAAAGTTATAACATGTTATAACGGTTGTCAAATAATTGCAGTACAGAAACCACCATGAAGATAGTGCTATAACATGTTATAAATCTGTAGTCTGAACGTACTATTAGCCATCAGCAGCGAGACATTCAAACAGTTTTTAACATCTTGGTAGGAAGCTGACGTTGGTTCAATTTTGTCTTTCTGGACGCCTTGAATAAATTTTCGTATTTGCGGAGTAATTTTGATTGCCCTCTGAACAGCAGCACTATTTTCCAACTATCGGTGACCGCAAAACTTTAGCGGGAATATGGTAGATCCAGAATACATCGTGATAAACGCTCGTCTTGCTGGTACATCTTTGAAGATATTGTAGATACCACGCAAATATTTGACAACAATGAATGTATTATGCAAAATATACAGCCCACAGCTTCCCAGATCTATCAGCTTCTCGCCACCTTTTTGTACCTCTAGCTTCAATTCACATTGGGCCCATCCATGGACACTTGCAGCAACTTGTTCGAAGAGATACCGGCAAGGGCGTCCATAAACGCAGCGAGTAGATCTGATGCCCGGGATCTTCCCAAAAACTTTGACGTCATGCACTGATAAAATTTCAAAGATTGTTTTATGTGTCCCACACATGATTTTTTGCAATGTGATCAACATTATTTTTTTCCCTGACCTACATTAAAATTCCCTGACATTCTCTGACTTTCCAGATCATAAATAGAATTCCCTGACATTCCCTGACTTTCCAGGTTTTTCCAGGTAGTCGACACCCTGATATTCGACCGAGATAATCAAATTTTAAAAGTGTCCGAAATTCGAGTTTAAGTGTCCGAAATTTGAATCGGCACGGTACTTCTAAGTAAGATTTGAAGAAACTTCCGCGGAACATTGGAATACATTTCTGGAGAAACATAGAAAAAACTTTCTGGGAAAGAGTGGGAAAAAACTTCCGGCAGATTTTGGTAGAAACTTTCGTGCAAAGTTCGACGAAGTTCAAATTCCAATGAAGAAAAACTATCAACTATTAGTTGCTGGATTAAAATATGTCCCGATTCCCGAGAAGAGCCATTAGCTGTTTCCCGATTCCAAGGCAGTCTGAAATAACCGGGAAATGGAAACACTAGTCGTAATTCTCACGATGAAATCAACAAAATAACAATTACATCAGCTTATTGTCATTCATCAGTACAGAACACGTGCTAACCGATTACATGCAGTTCCACACGATACAAGTTTACAATCACAATCGTGTTCGTTGTACAATTTTATCGAGTACTACTTCATGTCTGTACTCGCAGTTTATGACATCATCTCTTAACAAGTATTATAAACTCATAATGCGAAAACCACGAGCAATCCAGTATTTATTACACAGGGCTATGGAATGTAAAAATTCACTGTTTACGAACTACCTTGCATCACCAGCCAAAATCAAATTACACACATTAAAATCGCATTTATGCAGAAGATGCTCACACTTCTCTCCCAATTGCTCCGAATGCTCATCCCAAACAGCAGCACCCATCCAATCCAATAATGCCTCATAATAACGGGGTGTGATTTTTGACATTCAACCACCGAAGCAACAAAGCGACCGACCGAATCGATCGAAGAGCGGCGATGATGCACGGAGCACAAAAAGTGACTTGAACGCGTCACGAACGACGAACCTTGGCACCATCATTACCATCATCATCATCATGAGCGAATCCTCATCGAAAAAGATCAGCGTCATCCTCGTTGATTGAGATTTTTTTTGAGTATCAAATCCCAGCACTGAAGCAGATTGAGGCTGTAGGGAAAAACTTGTTTCTTCGTTCGATGGGGTCTGCTCCCCCCAAAACAGCACCCTCGTAGGTGGTGTTGGTGTTGGTCGAAGATTTGTAGACTGGAAATTGTAGTGGATAGCCATCCACGCTTATCGATAATGATAGGCTTTCACGACGCCACCGCCAGACCTGAGGGATGGGTTGGATTTGCGTGTTCACGGAAAATGTAAACGATCGTGACGGGAGATGATAAATTTCACATCATTTACACCACCAGCAGCTGATCCACACAACCACCACCACCATCATCGGTGCTGGCTGAGAGTGCGATCCAGAGCGAGAGAAAACCTGCTCACAGACTCGAGACGTACCTGTATGTTATTCCGCTTCACTTCGTAGCTGAGCCAATTATCTGTGGAGAAGGCGATTGCCAGCAGGGCAACGGCAATAATGGCGGATATCGTCGCGAGAGACAGCGTTACTGCACTACAGGGCATCTTGGCTCCGGAGTTGGTTACGTCGTCGGGTTTTCTAGGGTACTTTCTCTACAACTACACACACAAAAAGGCACAAACTCGCTCACTGCAGGGAGCCTGCGGTCACTTGAAATCTACTACTAGACGTTCTAATGCACAGCGATCTTCACCGAATTCAGGTTATTCTTGCACTGGCGATCATTTGTGGCCGATTCTTGAATAAACGGGAATCCCACTAAAAGCAGCTCCACAGCGACCTCTATTTCCCCCAGCAGATCTCCTCTCCTTCTTCAACCAAAACTTCACTTTCCACTTCTTCGCTTCGTTCGAGCTGCTAACATTCCCTTAACACAACAGGATCAAAGGTGTCAAACTCGATTTCCAATCAAATTTTCTTCCAACCAACGGATTCCACCTGATAACAGAACTTGCCAACCCCAAACGACAAACGGGGAATTCGGAACGCACCGCGATCTCGTTTCTTCCTCTGCTACTCTCCCGTTGGATCAACTACTTGCACGAACACACGCGCACACACATACACTCTCTCTCAGATATGTGTGAAGTTCTCGGGATCTTCTCTTTTGTCTGGCAAAACACTTCGTGGCACATTTGTCTCGCGCGGGTTTCTCAGTCCGACATCCTCGATGGGTAAGGCTCAACTAAACTCACCGCTGGACGCGAGATCAGGCTGAACCCCCCTCAGCTTCGCACTCTGCCAGCGACGATCACCACTACCACGATCGCGAAGAAACACACGGCTCCTCAAGAAAGACGGAAGAAATTCACCACTGGAAAACACTCCAAGACGGCAAGCGAAATTCACCACCGCAAACATTCACAGTGTAACCTATGCGAGAGGTATGTGAGTGAGTGAGTGTGTACATATTTTCCTCTCTTCTTCTATCTGTTTCTGTGGCCATATTCACATCATGAGCAGAGCAGAGCAAACATTTTTTTTTACAGTTGGTTTTGACGAGGAGGCCCCCGCGCGGTTGACTTGTTGCGTTTTGTGCATTAAAAATTCAAGTCAACACTTGCATCGGCTTAACATGCACACCAATATGACGGCGGCGGCGACGGATGAAGACGACGACGACGACAGCGAGCACGGTTGCTTCTTTTGCCACCCCGGACTCGATTCAGTCAGCCGATCGAGTAAGATGGAGTGGATGGAAGAAAACTGAAACAGGTAGGTGTTCGATGAAAACATTCGCAAAAAGAAGAAGAAGAAGAAGAAAATTGTCATCTGTCGGGGTAGTGAAATTTGCAAGAAGCATGGGTGAACTGACTGATGCACAGATGTTAATGAGTGTTCCTACAATCTTGATGGAATAAAAAGAAAATCACTTTGAATAGGATATTTTCTTTGACCTTTGCATATTTGGTCATGTGGTGGGAAGTCCTCCGACTTGAGCCTGAGCGCCTTAAGAGTCAGTTTTTTCGGTAATTTCGTGGGTTTTCCATCATTCATCCAACAATCATTATATTCATTAGTAAAAAAATGCAAAACTAAGTTATTTGCCTTACGAATATCGTTATTGATTAAAATAAGGTGTACAGGGGAAAGTGGGGCAAGATGACCACCATAACGAAACTCGAATAAAATTCCACTATTTTGAGAAAATAATTCTTTCCATAAGCTTACAGATGCTTTATGGATTGGCCTGCAATCCTATGCTTGAAGAACAATTATACAACATTGCTAAGCTTCGAGAAAAGTCCAAAACAAAACTTTGAATATGTTGGCAATTATTGCTCCTCAAGGGGCAAGATGATCAGTCCTATGGGACAACAAAATTGTTGCCATACATTGTCTTTCTGGAACCAATTGTGTAATCCCGATTGGCACAGTTAGTTTTTGCAAAGCACATCAAAATTAGACAATGTTTTTGTAAGTTTCGTGATATTTTAATTGAAACCATAATATTTTCGCTTGAGCTTTTAAGAATAATTAACCTTAGCTGTTCTTTATTTTACGTGGCGCTGCAAAGTTGACATGTTTTGCTTTTGAAGCTGTATTTTTTCGAGTTAATTTTTATCATTTCATAGACTTTTCAAAACATAAGCTTAACTTTTGCCTAAAAATCTATAACGATTGATTCAAATGTTCAGCGATCCCATCTGTCAAAGCCATATAATGTATATATAACTTATCCAGAATAAATCAGATACGAACCAATTCATAAATTTTGAACGCGTGTCCGTGGCTTAGATAAACGTTTTCCGCGAACACGAAGACAGATGTCAGTAGTGTGCTTTCAGCAGAAATTTCATGTTAATTTCTATGGTCATTCATGTCGGTTTGCCGGTGGTTTAAGCATGGATCAAAAATGTTTTATGTCCGACGTTTCGGCCATCTTCAAGAGATATAAAGATGCCCCGTCTTTCGTTCAGTGCAAAAATCTGTACGATCTAAAAATACATAACACTAGATGAAAGTTTCAGCTCCTGCATTAAAACGTTGATGACGATAAAACTGTAATCTACATTTTTTTTGAAGACCTAAAACCCGAAAAAAAATGAAAAGATCTTTAAACTTCTCCGCAAATCTAGACATTTCTAAAGTTTTCGGTGGTTACTTGAAGTAATTGGAACTGCCCTAAAGAGCTCTGAATCTCAAAAATTTCCGCAGCTTTCCTTATGTTTTCGATACTTCCTTGAAGCTCATGGAACTTCCTTTAACATCTCTAAACTAACCTAAAGTTCCTCAAAATTTCAAGAAGTTCTCGGATCTTCACTAACGTTCCAACAATTTTCCTGATATTTATGCACCATGAAGACCACAAAAATTAAAAAAAAACTGCACAAAATTATTCATAATTCTTGGAACTTCTTGAAAGTGCGTGCAATCAACTAATCGATGCTCTGAAGCTCTCTGATTTACCCCAAAATATTCGGAACATCCTTGTGAATAATGAAACTGCTTAGAAATTTTTAAACTTCCCTAAAGCTCTGTGGGCTTCGCTGAAAATCGCAGATCTTTGCAGAAGATTCGGGAATTCCCTGAGGTTCTGCGAAATTCTGTAAAGTTCCTGCAATTTTCTTGAAATTTAAAGAACTGCCCTCAGGTTTTCTAATCTTCCCTGATGTTTTCAAAGCTACCCGGAAGTTCTTGGTACTGCCCTGAAATCTTAACGATCTTAAAATACACAACACTAGATTAACATTTCAACTCCTGGATCAAAACGTTGATGATGATAAAACTGTAATCTACATTTTTTTTCTTGAAGACTTAAAAACCGAAACAAAATGACAAGATCTTTAATCTTCTCCGCAAATCTCGAGGGGGACGACTTTATCTATGATGCTGGAAAAATTGTGTTTTGCTGTGGCTAGCTGTGTGCAAGCTGAGTAGATAGAAAGAAAATTGATGACGTTTCTAAAGATGTCCTGCAAAAAGATGATGCGCGATGCAAGTAGATGCGAGAAACGAAAGAAGATTTTTCGAAGATTTATTCGCTAGTGTGAGATTTTTTGACCACCTAGAATTAAGATTTAGATGTCTCGCCCCCCTCGGCAAATCTGGACGATTCTGAAGTTTTCAGTGGTTACTTGAAGTAATTGGAACTGCCCTAAAGAGCTCTGAATTTCAAAAGTTTCCGCCGCTTTCCTTAAGTTTTCGATACTTCTGAAGCTCATGGAACTTCCTTAAAAATCTCTAAACTATCCTGAAGTCCCTTAAAATTTTAAGAAGTTCTCGGATCTTCACTTACGTTCCAACAATTTTCCTGAAACAGCTCAAAATGTTTCATAATTCTTGGAACTTCTTGAAAGTTCGTGCAATCAACTAATCGATGCTCTGAAGTTCTCTGATTTACCTCAAAATACTCAGAACATTCTTGTGAATAATGAAACTGCTTAAAAATCTTTAAACTTCTCTGAAGTTCTGTGGGCTTCCCTGAAAATCGCAGATCTTTGCAGAAGATTCGGGAATTCCCTGAGGTTCTGCGAACTTCTGTAAAGTTCCTGCAATTTTCTTGAAACTTTTTGGTTTTCTTATATTCCCTGATATTTTCAAAGCTACTCTGAAGTTCTCAAAAATCTTTGGAAGTTCTTGGTACTGCCCTGAAATTAATGTCTTAAACATTTGTAAACATCCCTGAAAAAATCATGGAATATATAAAGTACCCAAAATATGTCTATCAAAAATCATTCGATAGATCTCTGGACCTGGCTGAAATTCCTAGAACTGCTTAAAGACGCTAACAAGATTAAAGTTTTAACAATTTTCCTAATGTTCTCTGGACTTTTCTACAGTTTTTCGACTTTCGAAAAGTTTTCTCGATATCCCTGAAGTTCCTATAGCAGTTGCACTGAAAATTTATATAAGATGCTTCATGTAAGATCTCTAAACTTCTCCACGTTTTCTTCAGTTTCTTGAATTTCTCAAAACATCTGTGATGTTTCGGGCATTTTCGGAACGGGGACGACGCGTAGATGCTGAAAATCAATATTCGACGCTATTTGTAGAGCATTTTCTTCTGAAATCGGAAGCCACCATCTTGAACTTCGGCCATTGATTTCCGGCCTCTAGATGTCACCCCGATTCCAAAAATACCCATATTAATCGGTATTTGACAGTATTTCGCACTTAAGCCGCCATCTTAGATTCTAAAATGGCGTCAAACATGTGTTTTTGGCCTCTAGACGGGCCTCTACTGGGATTTCGAAAATACCCATATTCATGGGTATTTAACAGTATTTCCCACTTTTTCTGAAACAAGAAGTCGCCATCCTGGGTTTCAAAATGGCGTCTGACATCGATTTTTGGCATCTACGTGTCATCCCCGTTCTGAAAATACCCATATTGGACAGTATTTACAACTTTTTCTAGACGTTCACTCGGCTGTCGACAAAAGCAGGCCACTCTCGATGTGTGCCACGCGATCGTCTGTTTTCTCGGCAGCAACCATTATTGTGTGGTCCTCCTCATTGTTCTTCATCAGCAGTTCTTTCGGTCGATGCGTCGTCGATTTTGGAAAGTAACCGTTTAGTGGTGAGTGTGTGAGTGTTGTTGACCACGTTTTGCGTCCATTGCTGCAATGGAAGCGCTCTGACCCCCGTTGGCAATACTGCCATACAATGAAACCACTGGAAGCGGCTCCCGTTCTGATGGAAGAGGCTTTTTGGATAGCGGAAGATAAAGTGTTTATTGTGTTGTACCTTTTGACTATAGTTTTAAAATATATTGTATAGTGACCAAGAATCCTCGGCTCTGTAAAGTTAATTCGATTGAGCCTTATCAAATAAATTAATGAACAATTTTTTTTTCATAAATCGGAAGTCACAATCTTGGCTTTCAAAATGACGTCGCACATCGATTTTCGGTCTCCAGACATTATCCCGATTCTAAAAATACCTGTTTTGATGGGTATTTGACAATATTTTCCACTTTTTCTGAAATTGGAAACCAACATATTGAATTTCAAAATGGCTTCGCACATCTATTTTCGGCATATACGCGACGTCCCCGTTCCGAAAATACCCGTATTGGTGGGTCATTGACACTTTTCTGAAGCCCGATGGCCACCATATTGGATTCCAAAGCCGTCATCCAGATTCCGAAAATAGCCATACCGGTATAAGTATTTCCCACTTTTTCAGACATTGGGAGCCCGCCATCTTGGAATGCAAAATGGCGTCGGTCATCGATTTCTGACCTGTAGATGTCACGC